CACATCTTCACAGATAAATTAAAGTTTGATATGTGAGCATGAACTTCTTATTTTATGGTTTTAATGAGATATTTTTATCAAATATTACCATTAGAGGCTTAAAATATTATTAACTTACGTGTCAGGCAATATTAGGGATGAGCAAATACCCATCGGTTATAAGTAACCGCAGTTATCCGTCCATTTAAATCTCACGGTTACGATTATAGATAACTGTTTAGATAAATAAATGGTTATGGGTATAACTGTTTACCCGCGAAATTTAAATGGACGGTTATGGGTATTAACTGAGGTTATAAACGGGTAACCGTTTACCTATTTATTTTATATATGTAAAATTAACACAAATCATGTTCCCTATCGAACAAAACTTAGATCAATGCTATTGACTATAGTGCATGATTTATGTAGCTAATATAATATAGTTTTCCTTAACCATTTTAAATTTCATGGTCCATTATATATATATATATATATATATATATATATATATATATATATATATATATATATATTATGTTAATACTTTACATTCCGAGTTAAATAACCTAAGAATATTGTCTTTTAACAGTTTTCAAACCCAAAAATACTTAGCAAATTTTACATTACCTTCATTGTTAATACTTAAAAATATCGTCCGTAAACTATTATTTCAATTATTGGAATGGTATAAGGACTTAAAAAATTAAAATGCGGAAATGTATGATGAATATACCTATAACGGTGTTTAATTGTTAGAAAAAGAAATTTATGACAAAGTTGTTAAAAAAACACGTAGACGGGTGAAAAATGAGTAAATGGTAAAAAAGAAAAGATAAACGGGTTAAAAAATGATACATGAGTAAACGGTACTAAACGGTTACGATTAAATGGGTACACGGTTATGGGTATGGTTAACAATTTATAAACGATTATGAGTATGAGTACAACCGTTTAGGCAATTACCCAAAAGGTAAATGGTTATGCAAGTATGAGAATAAACGGTTATGAATAAATAATCACGGTTACCCGTCCTCTATAACCGTTGCCCATCCTAATCAATATGCATGTAACAAGAAAAAGTGACGGAAGTAAGCAAGTGCAAATAAAAAACTGTGAATATGAGTTAACAGCTAAGTGATAGGCACAACCCCACAAGAATTGGTGGGTTTTTTACACTTTCTCCATTGACCATAAATTTTCCAAGTCCCCCACTAAAACTCCATACCATTTGTGACCCCGCCATGATTCTGGAAAATCCCCCAATTTCTGACGTCTATTTAGATTTAATTTCATCTCTTAAAAAGGATCACATCCTCTGAGCTCTAACTAACTTGTCCTCAACACAACCGCGGGAACCAACGAACTTCTGAAATCCCCCTCCCTCCAAATGGCTAAACACACCCCAACATCTTCTCTCCAAACCCACCTCCACCTCCTCCTCCTCCTCCTCCTCCTCCGCCATGCCAACTCCCAATCCCTCCAAGACCAAGAACAAGCAGTCCTTCTGAAACTCAAGTCCTACTTACAGTCTCCACCATTTCTCAGCCATTGGATCCCATCAAACTCAAACACTTCTTCCCACTGTTCCTGGCCTGAAATTTCCTGCACAAACAACTCCGTCACTGGATTGTCTCTCGTCGACTTGAACATAACCCTGCCGGTTCCACCTTTCATCTGTGATCTCACAAACCTCACACTCGTCGATCTCAACTACAACTACCTCACCGGAGAGTTCCCAAAATCTCTCTACAAGTGTTCCAAGCTAGAATACTTAGACCTCTCACAAAACTACTTTGTAGGTCCGATTCCTGATGACATCGACAGCCTGCCCCGGCTTAAGCAGCTTATCCTCGGCGGAAACAACTTCTCCGACATTCCTCCAGCGATAGGGCGGTTGCAAGAGCTCGAGAATCTTCAGCTTTGGATGAACCAGTTCAATGGCTCTGTCCCACCAGAAATAGGTAACTTGTCCAATCTCAAAGACCTAAACATGTCTTGGAACACAGAACTTGTGCCTTGGACCTTGCCTTCCAATTTCACCAAGTTGAAAAAGCTCAAGAATTTATGGATACGCCAATCGAATGTGATTGGAGAGCTTCCTGAGACACTTGGGGAGATGGAAGCATTGGAAGTAATTGATTTGGCAATAAACAGGTTGAGTGGGAGGATCCCGAACGGTTTGTTTACGCCGAAGAATTTGAGTATAGTCTATCTCTACAACATTCTTTCCGGGGAGGTTCCTCAAGTGATTGAATCATGGAACTTGAGCATTTTTGATATATCTGAGAACACTTTAACAGGGACAATACCAGAAGAGTACGGCAATCTTACCAAATTAACAGAGTTGGCTTTGTTTCTCAATGATTTTTCGGGTGAAATTCCAAAGAGCATTGGCCGCCTGCCAAACCTCAGAGCCTTCAGAATCTTCAACAACAAATTTTCAGGAACATTGGCTCCCGAGTTTGGGAAGTACTCGAAGCTCGAAGCTTTTGAAGTTTGCGTCAATAGGCTAACAGGAAAACTGCCAGACGATTTGTGCTATTGGGGTAAGCTGGAAGATGTTATAGCTTATGGGAATTATCTGAGTGGAGAATTGCCAAGCTCTCTTGGAAATTGCAGCAGTTTGAAGACTGTCAACGTTCAAGATAATATGCTGTCTGGAAACATTCCTAGCGGTATGTGGACAGCGCCAAACTTGACTACTGTGCTGGTGAGCAACAACTCCCTTACTGGCAAGCTTCCTGAGAAGATGTCATCAGATCTTTCGCGGTTGGAAATGCGAGACAACAGATTTTCGGGCAACATTCCAACCGGGGTGTCTTCCTGGACAGGTTTGAAGGTTTTTGACGCCGGTAATAACCTCTTTAGCGGTGCTGTTCCTCTGGAATTAACCGCGCTTTCTAGTTTAATGACTCTTTCCCTTGATCAGAATCAGCTCACCGGCTCCCTTCCATCGGATATTGTGTCGTGGGAGTCACTCACTAGTCTTAATTTCAGTCGAAATCAGCTCTGTGGAACAATTCCTGAGAAACTTGGTCTTCTGCCGGGACTTACTGGATTAGACCTTTCAGCAAACCAACTTTCTGGCGGAATTCCAGATCAACTCGGGCGTCTGAACCTCAACCAATTCAATCTCTCTTCCAATCACCTCTCCGGGAAGATCCCCATCGAATTTGAAAACTCTGCGTATGAAGGAAGCTTCTTGGACAATCGAGGCCTCTGCGCACCTAGCTCACCGGCAATAAAGCTCCCCATATGCAATTCTGAACCCCGAAAGTCCAGTAAACTTTCGTCGAAATCTCTTGCACTGATTTTATCCATAGGCATACTGTTGTGCTTGTTGGCTTTTTCCATCTCGGTCATCATGGTCAGAAGTTACCGGAAGAGAAATGGTGATTCTAACTGGAAGCTCAACTCATTTCATAGGTTGAATTTCAGTGTCGAAAATCCTATCGGGGTTGACAGAAAGTAATCTGATTGGAAATGGCGGATCAGGAAAAGTTTATCGCGTTCCTGTGAATCGCAACGGTGATGTTGTTGCTGTGAAGAAGATTTGGAAGAACAAGAATTTAGAAGAGAAGCTTGAGAAAAAGTTTCTTGCAGAAGTCAAGATCTTGAGCTCAATTCATCACGCCAACATAGTGAAGCTGATGTGCTGCATTTCCAGTCAGACTTCAAAACTTCTCGTCTACGAGTACTCAGATAATCGGAGCCTGGATCGATGGCTGCACAGGAGAAACAGGCCATCCAATCTCTTGAGGTCAGTCCATCATGTTGCGCTCGACTGGCCTAAGAGGATGCGGATTGCAGTGGGGGCAGCTCAGGGCCTCAGCTATATGCGCCACGATTGCGTGCCGCCTGTGGTACATCGTGACATGAAATCGAGCAACATTTTGTTGGACTCCGATTTCAATGCAAAAATAGCAGATTTTGGTCTGGCTAAGATGTTGGTCAAGCAAGGAGAACCTGCTACAATGTCATCAGTTGCTGGCTCCTTTGGCTACATTGCTCCAGGTAAACCTTAAACCCCACAAATGCTGAAGTTCGGGCATGTCTGAGACCGCTTCTTTATAAAGCACTTCTTATAAGTACTTTTGCAAGAAGTGGTTTTCTCTTCTGCTCATAAACTTTCGCTAAAGCAATTGACAAAAAAACAAAATGCTTCTATGACCAATAAGCACTATTAAGTTTTTTTGCCAACAGCAGTGTTTTGAGTTGTTAGAAAAGCGCATATAGCCCTTCTAAAAGCAATCTCAAGCATGCCCTTAGTGCCTAAAGAAGCATGTGTATTTTCTTTCATTTCCATTAGCAATCTGTAAACTGGTTTTTCTTACCCTAAATGCAGAATACGCTCACACAACGCGAGTGAATGAAAAGATCGATGTGTATAGTTTTGGGGTCATCCTTCTGGAGTTGACAACCGGCAGGGAAGCCAATGACGGTGATGAACACACTGCCCTCGCTGAATGGGCGTGGCGCCATTTTCAAGAAGAAAACGCTATCGCTGACGCTTTGGATCAGGACGCTAAAGAACCTTGTTACTTGGACGAAATGTGCTCGGTTTTCAAACTTGGTCTCATTTGCACAGAGAGACTTCCAGCTAGTAGGCCTTCCATGAAGGAAGTTCTGCAAATGTTGCTCCGATGCAGCCGTCCAGTTATCAACAGTGAAAAGACCGAGTACGTTGCCGATCCTCTGCTCAAGAACTCAAAGCGCGAGAGGATTTTCGAAGACGAGAATGGTAGTTTGGCAACAAATTTCTGATGCCTTCATCAAATTCACGAAGAGGAAACAAATAAGGGGGAAATAAGACTTCCATTTCGGGTCGGTCTTAAGCTGATCAAATGCATACTAGAGAAGGAATTAGATAGTCATAGTGATCAGATGTATACTAGAGTGCAGCTCTGCATCTTTTACGATGCCGAGCTGCACTCTAGACGACAAAACTACCTTGTATATATGAGTATGTATCACAATAACGAGTAGCGAAAACTTCTCGAAAAACCAGCAAGAACTGATGGCCCGAAAAACCTGTATTATTTGCAACAGAGATGAGAGAATGTTCCGCAAAAAGTACATACTTACAGTTTACATCCCCTACTTTATTAAGTAATCCGGGAGAAATAAGCTTATAAATTGATCAACAACACAACGCTTAAACATCCGCAGAACGAAACAATGGGCTGCAGCAAGAAAGCCTAGCCGATTGCCTACTCCAACTGCCGATTATGATCCTACGCCAATTACCGGCTCTAAAGGTTCATAAATTACGGATGGGGTGCAAGATCTTCCAAACTAGGAGCTAAGAATAACATGAATTGATCCAAAGGAAATAGTGGGAAGATAAGGGGAAACGAAAATACACAAAAATTGAGAATGTCACACTTCATTCATCTACCCTGGTCTTGACCATTTTATGACTCCTCTACCTCAAGGTATTGGGAGTGAGAGGCTGCTAGGAGGGCAGCTCCAATTCCGGAGCCGTCGCTTGAGAGCTCGATAGAAATGTGCTCAGCAACTTCGTCGCCCAACAACTCCTTGAGAGTACCCTCCATGCTGGTGCGGAATTCAGTGTAGTGCTCATACAAACCGCCATCCAGTGCTACCACCGATTTTTGCTTCTCTCCATCCTTAACTGTGTCTCTACCTAACTTCTTAAGCACCCCCAAGATCCCAGCAGCAGAAAGGCGAGCCCCACGAGTGGAAACTATGTCACATAGCGCCACGACAACCCTTCTCATTTTCAATGAGGTGTTGGAGATCTACAATTATAAAAAAATCAAAAACAATAAACACTTGTCACCTGTCTAAAGATTGGCTTTGAAATTTTATAGAAAAATAGGAATTCTAGTCACTTTCTAAAAGTGCATGCTCTAGGATGATACCAAAAAAAAAACACAATCGTATCATGTCCACCCTATGAAATTGTTATTCAGTGAAAGGTATAATGTCTTCAACCTTTTATCAATTTTTACTTTTCTAACCACCCTCCCACGAGAATTATGAAAAGGAAGAGAAAAAAAAAAAAACTAAAGTTGCACAGACAGATAACAAAAAGATCGTTTTTTTCCAATAGAATGGGCAATTTACCTCAAGGATGTCCTTGAGTTTGTTCCCGACCACTTTCAGATCCGGAGATGAGTCATGATGCATGGCAGACATGACAGGAGTCCTGCAAATAATACAACACCATAAAGATTCAGAAAATTGTACGCTATTCCAAAGTTAATGCACAATCCAAGCAAAAGCAATAGGTGAAACACTTTATTTATTATCAACCTTTTCATAGACTTTCATACACAGACCTCAGTTTGAACCAAAAAAAACGACAATTGGCAAGTAATCCACAATGGCAAAAGCATCAAGTTTTAATCTAGGCACCATTGAGAAGCAAAACAGACGTTATGACCATGTGGAAGTCACTTGCCGTTCCGAATAGATGGAATTAACCACATTATCTGATGCTCCATTGCGATGGTGTATTTTGATATTGAGTGTCAGTCAGGAATAGACCTGCCCAATTACTCTTGACAGTTATCTATGCAGAATCCAAGACATTCCCAGAATTTAATCCGCAAACGCAATGGAAAGGCTGGTTACTTTTAAGTTTCAAGTTTGTGGTTAGATTTTCAAATTGGGACAAAATCTGGGTTTCACACAACTCCAAGACATCAAGACACGGAATTCATAGCAGGCAGCAAAGAACAAGAAGAAAAGCCGCGCCGCAAGTGAAAATTTGAAATGCTTGCCAGAATATCACTGGGATAATGGGTCGGATTTGATTTCTGGTTGTAGAGAGTTTAATTGTAAACTGGTTCAAGACTTCCAGTGCATCATAGGTATACTTTCAATAAATTTTATTGACTATGCAAGTATGACCAAATATTGTACACCCAAGTATTTCACAGAAAAAGGTCCGCTCAAAACACAAATCCTCTTAAAATTCGGGAACACACAAACACGTCCAATGACATACCTCAAGCTAACAAGGTTTGAAAAAATATCGCCTACAAAAAATGTTAGAATATACCTTAGTACAAACGGAATTTTCAGTTTTGGCGGGACAACATCACCAAAAAAGTCAGCTTCTTCAGCCATCTTGAGCAATACTCTGCGCACAATGTCCCCTAAATACATGCCAGAAATGATCTTCTCGAATATCTGCAAACAAAAACAAAATCCATATGATATATCAATCAAGCCATCTTCATATGCAAAATGCCAAAAACAAGCAAAAGAAAGTATCTTTACTTGTTCTCCAGGGTTTAAACTCTCAGCATCAAGTGCTTGATCGTATTCTGTAAGTGGAAGGTGTGACGAGCGAAAGTTACCCCACTCCATGTTGATAACCTATTATAAAAATAACAAAGAATTAGCAATGTTCTAACTACAGATCTAAACCTTAGCATCAGGCAACAAACCATAGTTCTACAATTACTAACCATTTCACCTGATTTAGGTAGAAGACCATGCCATTTTGGAATGGCATGCGCTCGTTCTACATAAGCAGCGTTCGTTCCAGTGCCCAATATCACAGCAGCAATGACATCCTGATTGTGGTACCTACCACCTGCTAATGTACCAATTGTATCATTGACCTGCATCAGCCTGGCAAGTTAGGATTGTCCAAAATGATTAAGCAATAAATCACCAAGGTTTAAATCAGCTCCTCAAAGCGTAACAGGAACATCCGACTTGCGGAAATTAGACACTAAACTGGACTTACCAAAGCTGTAACACGCAAATCAAGTCCAATTTTTTCCACTGATTTGGTCAGTTCTCCTACAACATCTTGCTCAACCTGCACCAATATTAGCAAAAGGAAACTGTCACAAGGGGGCACCACACTATTTATATAGATTAGTCCAGAGCTGCTAAATTAATTTTATTATTAGAACACATTGGGTAACCAGTGGGTAGAAAATAATGTTTTAGGTAGAACATATGTTAAGAAAAGACAACATAAAGGGTGCGTTTGGTACGCGGACGGGACGGAACGGGACGGGACGGGACGGGACGGGACGGGACGGAACGAAGGTGTAATTTTTGAAAAAGACATGGGGTATATTTGTCTTAAAATGGTAAAACATTGTGTTCCACAGACGTGGAACAAACCCGTTCCAGGGGGGGAGGTGGGACGCAAAAACACCCAAAATCTGTCCTGTGGAACAGCCCGTTCCACCCATTTTTGGCGCACCAAACGCGGGACGCCTCGTCCCGTTCCGTCCCGTCCCGTCCCACGTACCAAACGCACCCAAAGGCTCCAATGCCCTATGTATCAGGCACAGTGTCCTCCAGGCATGATTTACATGACTAACTAGCAAACAAAAATCAATATAGCAAGAGCTGTCAAAGTACCGCGTCCTCAATACTGAAGCCTTTTGTCCACTTAATAAGAGTCCCAGATGCAATTGACGTTTGCCGCACGGGAAACGAAAAGGTAAAACCCAGCTCCCTTTGTCTACCGGGTGCAGGATGTAAACCCTCTCCTTCAGTTGCAACAAATTTTGCAATTGTTTCAGCAATAAAATCAAATAATCCCTGCAACCAAATCATGATAAATTACCACCAAGTAGGAACAAATCTAAGCAGGTTTGTTAGATTGCCTCAAGAAATACAATACTAACTTCTGAAGTTCCAGTCATCAAATGCGGAGGAATGGAAACTTCCTCAGATTCTTGTTTAACAACGTGTTTGTCTTTCCCACCGAGCTGTACACGCAGGACACGGAAGTTTGTCCCACCAAGGTCCAATGCATAAAACAGTCCTTTCTCATCCCTGAAACGATAAGGGTGAAAGTCAAAGGAATGTACTACGGATCCAATAGTACCCCAGAGATGTTCAAGTGCAATGCGTGATTTTAACACAGTCGTGCCTAATTAGGCAAACATGGGAGCCGCATGAAAATTCAACATAACTAAATCGTATTAATTAATCAGAAAGCACATAAAAATTCGACCTTTAACCCTTTTAACAAAAAAAAAATTAACAAAATGGGACAAATCAATCATTTCAAACAGAAGACTAATTGCGACAGAACAAAATTATTGAACCCAAAAGTCCTTATTTTAAATCCAATCCCAGTTGAAATTACGAGCATTTCCAATCCCAATCGAAAAATAAAAAAATTAAGGGTGGGTGAGATAAGAAAAAATACCCAGTGGGAAGGTTATCGACGTAGCTGATGAGCATCTTGAGCTTGCTGCCCCCCTCGGATGCGAGGCCAGCGTGCATTTCCACAGTCATGGCGTCAGCCACCTGCCTCAGCTTCCCAATGGGGGTCCCGCACTTATCCTCGAACTCTTTCAGAATCGCCATCGCCCGGGCCCACCTCCCCGAGCTCTTCATTCGGTGCCGCACGACCAGCGCCGCCGCCGCACATACCGCCGCCGCGCAAACCACCGCCGCCCCCACCGCCACCTTCCCCATCAACACAGCCGCTGAAATTACTATATCTTTGATGGGTTTTTCAGTTCGAAATCTGCAGAACCCGAATTTCTGGTCAGGGATTGATGGGCCTATTTAAATTCTCGTGCTTGCATGCGTGAGAAAGTTTTGGAAGTGAGAGAGAGAGCTGGAGAGAAAGTGAGAAGTAGAGAATTAAAATATAATTTTGGGAAAATCCAAAAAGCCCCAAGCATTATATAGGACTGTTGGGGAGGGATACGAATGGAAAATTGTTAATCCAGGAGTTCCAATTTGCGGCCTAATTTATCGGGAAATTAAGCTGTATTTTTCAATTTTCTCGGAGAGAGAAAGTGCTTTTATGATTTTCTTGGCCCTGTTTGTTTTCTCGTAAAATTAGCCCCTTTTCTGTATTATTAAATTTTCTTGGGGATTTTCTCGCACTTTCTCGGAAAATAAAAAGATCTTGTTGGAGTCAAAAATGAATTTGCCTTTTTTTTTTTTGAGGAAAAGTGAACATGGTTTTGAGTGAAAATTACGAGATTGACCTGTCAGTGTCAAGCACGAGGCTGTCTGCGACTCTGTTATATGGACGAACACGATTTCTTGAGGTGTTCTGGTATTTTTGGAGATTTCAGATTAAGGAAGTCTGCGTGTGAGGTTCTCCCTAGTTCCCATGCGTAAAGAATCAGCAGCCCCTGGATGGTCAATAATAACCGGATATGTGTTCAAGTTGTATTTTTTTAATCATAATTTAAACACGTGTTCAATCGTGACTAACTCTCAGCAAAAGAAATAGTTGATTCTTTCAGCAGCCAAGTTAAATCCACCAAAAATAATATGCTAGCCGAGGAGCTTTGTAGCTTAGTTTAATATTTTTATGTCTCATCTTGAGTGATTATAAGAATACGATAATTACTTTATAGGCTGAAACCTATATGCTTCTAAGTTTCTAACGAGTAGTTTTATTTCAAGTGATTTTTCAGCCTATCTCGTCTTAAGTTATTTTGAGAATTGGGAGTGCATGTGTTTTTGACGAGTTATTTTTATCTCAATGAGTGATTTTGATATGTCTCGTCATAAGTGATTCTGAGGATGACATATTCATTTATGGTTGAATACATGACTATATGTGCTTTTTACGAGTGGTTTTCTCTCAAAAAGTGATTATAACCTGTCTCATCTTGAGTGATTATGAGAACTTCAATTGTGTAGTATACAATGAAATCAACCTCTTCAATTGTTTATGAAAGTATGAAACATGGTGCCATGTCAAACATCATTTGTCCGGAAAATTTAATCATTAGAATATCTGAAAGCAGATAATCTATAACCCTTGTAATTCTTCCATCTAGAAATTTTGGATCCACAATATTTTCATCAAATAAACAACTGCAGCCAAAAGGTGAAAGCGAAATATATTTTCTGAAATAAGGATCCGTCATGGCGCCATCTCATAAAGTATAAAGGATAACGATACATGTTATGTGGGATGATTATTATATTCACAACTATTAAACAATCCAAATTTGACTATGATCCACAAGTTGCTTTTGAATTGTCCCTTCGAATCTTTTAATTGCACTGTTTTTGACTTTAGACGAGAAGAAATTTCTCATAATCGTGACAGAGAAGAGATGTTTAATTTTTTTCTCTTAACGCGATAAATTAAACGATATGTTTTTTTTTCTTTTTCTAAATAACATGATCAATAATATTAATAACGTAACAGATGTTTCACCACGTCAACAAACAAAAATAACAGATATCTTGTTTGGTCTCTAAAATAGTGTAAGATTCTCTTCCTTCTTATTTTTCCTCATTTTCCCTTCCGTCCTATTTGAATAGTAACAGTTAAGTTACGTCAACATTTTATATTAATTGTTTTATAGAAAGAGAAAGACAAAATAAAGAATATGAGATGAGGGAATAGAAAGGGATTGAATGAGGAGAGAAGAGAATCCGAGTCCCTCTAATTGATTGGACTGAACAACTCACTAATTCAAAATATGTTAAAGAAAGCAAAAAACTTGCGTCCAACTTAAATCTAAAATATAAATCTTCTATTCTATTAACAGAAGAGGGTTTGTCAACTTTTTGTCCCATTTTCTTTCAATTTTGCCCTCACTTTTGAATACATAATGTTGACATGAGGATGGCAAAATAGTAATTTGTATCTTTTTGAACTTTTCCCTTTTTCCTATTTTGCCCTCACTTTTGATACACAATATTTACATAAGGAGGGAAAAATAGTAATTTTATATCAAAATAGTTACATAAGATAACCTTTTGACAAAATAACAATCATATCCCTATTTTTCCTATTTTACCCTCATTTTTTTAGAAAATGACAATTATATACTTATTTTGTTCACACACACAAAGTACGTGTTCTCTGCTAATTACATATTAAGAAAATTTATCTAGTTCCATCCCTATCAAGAATTTGAAGGATAAGTTTCCTCAATCGCATGACGTGTTTCTGCATTTCCGATGGAGTCGAACCCTGAAAACCGTGGGAGAGAGCAGGTTCCTCATCTGGTCCTGCACCTTTTAAACCCCCGTCAGCTGGAAGCACAAGCGACGTAGTTGAGGCTGAGGGTACCGTTAAACCCGGAGAAATAGTTCCAAGTTCTGATAGAAATACCGCTGTTAATAGAAATGCTCTTGCTAGGCCGGTTCCCTCGAGGCCTTGGGTGCAGAACTATGGAAGCAGCACCAACTATGGTGTCTGGAATATATGGTTCACATGGTGGAAGTGGAGGATTATACGTACGGTGGGGGATGTATGGCAACAACAGCATGTATAAGGGAGGGTATTGTGGTGGTGGGCTTTATGGTTTTTCTTGGATGTACAATGGTATTTTAAATAGGAGCCCTGATGGGTGGTTATGGTCCTTATGGAGGCCAAGATCCAAATGATCCATATAGTCCTTCTCCATCTCCACCAGGGTTTGCCATTGACCTCAGACATCACATATGCAGCGTTATTATTTTTCATGGCCATGTTAAGGTGACAGAGTTCGAATTTATAGCTCTTTGTACTCAAAATAGATGCGGTGACCAGACTGCGCTGATACCAAATATTTTGTATCATGATTGTGGCAAGGTTTTTTTCCACACACAAACGTAAGATTGATTCAAGATTAACTTCAAACTGTGGCAAGTGGAGAAGAAGATCATGCAACTCTAGGTGTTAATAGAGGATTATAAGGTTCAAGTGACTACTTTGAGTTTTGAGCCAGTCCAGTCCTATTCAGCCAAATTCTTCAAATGGGTCTGTAGACATCGAAATTTCGGTAAATAAATGTTGACCGATAAATTAAAGTGTCAACGCTCATGTATTACATAAATTTTACACGTAGCGTGCGACTCAATGAAAATTGAAATGAGTTGGAAAAGTCATCAAATAGGACACGTATCAACACCTGGCAGAAACAACTTATTTCATCTGGGATATTATATTCAAAATTAGGCCTTGGAAAATTCTATAAATACAAGCCCATTTCATTCATTTTGAAGGGGACCAATTCATATTACACCTTGAAGCTCTGAAGCTCTGAAACTCCGAAGCTCTCAAGCATCCAGGTTCCCGAAGAATCAAGAAAGCCTTCTTCGTTCTTCGTTCATCGTTCTTCCGAGATCAAGCCCCGACTGCCCTTGAAGAAAGTGTTCTTCGTTCATCGTTCTTCCAAGATCAAGCCCCAACGGCCCTTTGGATCAACAATCTTCCACCAATTCAAGATCAAGCCCCGACGGCCCTTGAAGAAAGTGTTCTTCGTTCTTCGTTCATCGTTCTTCCAAGATCAAGCCCCGACGGCCCTTGGATCAACCATCCACCAATTCAAGATCAAGCCCCGACGGCCCTTGAAGAAAGCACCATCGTTCATCATCCGTTCATCCAAGATCAAGCCCCAACGGCCCTTTGGATCAACAACGTCGACAAATCCACACATCCAACCGTTCTTCAAGATCAAGCCCAAAAGCCCTTGAAGATTCGTTCATCACTGTTCTTCAAGATCAAGCCCAAAAGCCCTTGGAGATCCGCTCATCACTGTTCTTCAAAGATCAAGCCCAAAAGCCCCTTTGAAGATCCGCTCAAATCCACCTTCAAGATCAAGTCCACGGCCTTTGAAGAACGTTCATCCTTAGATCAAGCCCAACGGGCCTTTGGATCAATCACACATCCACAAATACACACCTTACGGAGATCGAATCAGAGGATCAAAATAGAGAGAGATTGTAACCCAAAATCATCTAAATACAAATATTTGTTTGTGCACGTAGCTCTTGTCTCTTTCGTTTCAGGAATTTTCCGTGTTCACAGAGTCTCCACCCACTATTTATCACCACTATATGAATTTGAATTTTGAGATTTGCATGTGTAGCGGATATGAATAAATCTCAAAATTCAAACTCATCCAACGTTGATAAATAAAATGATGAACATTACCATCACTTGAAGACGGTGAGCAAAAATACACTCATTTTGTACTTGCCCCTCCGCAGAGGTTCCATTTCAGTTCCATCAAAAGATGGAATTTCAAAAAGTGGTCCTACATTAAAACACAACTTGTTCTTAACCAAATAAAACATGGATTTTTTTATTAGCGCTCCACATAATGTTGAATACACCCCACATTAAAATTTAATATTAAATGATTTATATATCTAATATGCAATAACAATTTTGACCTCATAAAGTTCAATAAAAAATCTAAATACACCCCAAATCACAACTTTAACATGTATATCCTACAATTATTTTTCTTCAACTCTCAAAACCAATCTCATCCTTTATTGTAGAACAAAACCTAAATCAATGGAACTACAAACACGTTGATCACAACTTTAAAGCCCAAGGATATTGATCAATAGCCTCCTAATTTTCATTCACCGTACCACTGCAGCTTCATCTCTGTATGAAATCAACAAATTTGCCTTTGTTATGACGATTTTCACAAGGCGGACTCAGAACTTGCAGATTCTCGTTATGACGCTTCAAATTACACCCAAATAGGAAGGGAAGGAGAGGAGCGTCCAAGTCAAGTTGCTCGCCTCTTTGGTTGTGATACCAAAAGCTCTCACAGATGCACATATGATTGGTTGTTTTGTACATACAATAAAATTCTTCAATCCAATGATTCATGGAGGCATTCTATCAACCCCACATTCCTCTTCAACCCGGTTTCATTGAGTTTAAAAAAATAAAAAAAATAAAAAAAAGCATGAAATATGTATTTGCACTTAAATG